TACAACAAAACAGCAACAACATCAATCCACTGACGAAGAACAAATTAAAATATACCAAGCAAGAAAAACTTGTGTTTTCCAGTCTAGCCTGTTCTCGCGTACAGCTTGGTGGTACATTTCTCCTCCAGGGGGAGCTTTTTATTAGAAGATAGACTCAATAGTTATTTTTCTTTTGCGTTTTTTCTTCCTGTTCAAGCTTAAGTTTTGGTAACCAAGTGAGAGTGTCAATGCCATTAATCTACTTGGTTCCTTTTGGCATCCAGAGTTATTTGTTGGTGCTACTAATTCTGCTAAAAATGTCCGTCCACAGGGTAAATGTGCTCATCAGTCATCTGACGAACCGCTTGGAAAGCACACTGGTGTCACTCGTGTAAAGAGCATACCTGGTAGCAAATGTGACACTTTTACCAGTGTGAGTTCTTAAACAGAAGGCATGCTACTACATAGGTTAGGGAACATGACGCATGAAGAAAAAGTATTTACCAATGAGAAAAACACCGATTTCCCAAAAGAAGTCTGATATTTTTATTTCACAGTGTGCCTTTTTTAGTTTTCTTCTCAAATTTCCAATTTTAATTAGAATTTGTTTCCTTTTGTGACAGAATACAACTTCGCAGAATGTAACCAAACGTCCAATTCAGCAAATGCAGCCCACTGCTCCAAGAAATAGTAATTTGCGTGAATTACCAATAGCCCCACCGCACGTCATGGAAATGAGTAACAGCCGATGCTCCTCCACCCCTGCAGCTCAAGGAAAGCCTATTATAAGCACAGCGCCGCCCACAAGGTCTGTGGTGGGTCCCAGGAACGCCCAGGGGAAGACTGAAGTGAAAGTCAAGCCTGTTACTCCTGTGGCTCAACCTAAAGAAGAAGCAAAAACAGAACCAGAGGTAGGACTTAAAAAAAGAAAGAAAAAAATAGTCCGTCTAGGGTAAGAAGCCTTAATTCATTCTCTCTGTGTACTCACAAAACCAACTGTACCTTGAATTGGGACCCTCTTTTAGATTGTATCTACTAATCGAATGACTCTTGTATGATTTAGAACTAGTGCATTTTAGAGGCCAGCAAGCTTTCTGTAGAGGACCCCATCGAATGTATGTGAGGGTTTATAGTTCTGACCCTCTGTCATAGCTATTAGCACAAGAGCAGTTATAGATAATTCTTTACTGACTGTGGCATGTTCTCATAAAAAGTGATGGGTGAGATTTATCCTAGGGATTGTCATTTTATATAGTATGTATGTATGTAGTTGCTTTTGTTGTATACTGTGAACTACTAGAAGATAAGGCTGACTTTACTTCTGGTCTATAAGATTTTGAGGCTTTGGTTTATTTTATTATATATTAATGCTAACTTAAATTGGCACAAAGTGATATAAGTGAAATAGCAAATGCATTTAGTAATTTAATACTTCGTTTCTAGTCGTATTAGCACCTCAGTTTAGTTTTGCCCATTGTGTTATGTTGTTTTTTTTTTGCTTGGGGGATGCGGTGGTTAAGATTAATTAATACAGTACTGGCCACGAAGTTTTGAATGAATTCTGGTTAGCTATGTGTAAAATCTGTCACTAGGACAAATCCCTACAGGCCATTGGTCTCTTAAAAAGGAATGAAAGTGACTTATCTAATCCTACTGTGCGATAGATAGCTCCGTCCCAGGCTTGTCCCTGGAAGTTCAGCTATACAAATTGGACAGTATTTCTTCTTGATGGCAAGGAGTGTTAACGAGGCAAAGTAGTTTAGTGTAGGCTAATTGTTTGCAACACCCAGCAACTCCCGAAAACGTAGTCTTTGGAATGACTATACTTGTTAGCAGTGTGACCCTAAGCAAATTACTTTCCCTCTCATAAGCCTTACGTTCATTATCTATTAAGAGGATTAAAAACAGCAGTGTTTTTAGTGAGAGATCAGTACATTTTATTAGAAAAATGTACATGGAATATAATGAATAATGATAATACTTTGGCAGTGTCAGTATAAGAAAATAATTTTAAATGACAGAGGTATCTTTAGAATATAGGAAAGTTGTGTTAATTTTATTAAACCAGATAAAATGTTGGTTTATCTTTTGTCAGTTAAGTTATTGCTATCTAGGCCTTATATGTATATGTATATATAACTAAATATAACAGTTGTTAATGTGTTACTAAATAAGAAATATAAAAATAAAATATTGACTTCATACATAATAAGATCTTAGTAGAAGTGTAGCTTTTTCAAAAATTTTCAAATCAATATCTGGGTGGGGGGAAGTCAATTTACAAACTGGATCAAGGTAGTTAGTTTATAAAATCTTTACTAAAACTTTTCTATTTCTAGCTTCTTACTTTTTACAAGCTGATTTGGCTCAGAAAAACTAAGTCATGGTCATTATTTTATAATAACACTAGCCAAAATAATATGACAAAAGTGACCAATTAGGTATTCCAGTAGCTTTTTCCAGCTGTAATTTGCTTAGCAGTGGGTTTAGAGCATCAAGCTTGATAGAGGATCAAGAGAAAAGAAGAGCGGGTCCTCAATAAAATGGATGGACATGGCAGGCGCAACAGTGGGCTCAAACATACCAGTAACTGTCAGGGTGCATTGCACTGGACAGGGGTCTGTTTTATGTAGGATCACTGAGTCACAACCAACTTGACCACACTTTACAGCAAGAACTCCAGAAATTTTCTTTAAGTAGCTGGAGGATTGAAGTGGAATTTACAATAACTATAATATGGAAAGTCATCCAAATCTGAAAACATGAACGATTCTAATTAATTGAATGTCATAATTTGTTTTTAAGTTTCTGTGTACATAAAATAAGTAGACCTTTTTCTTTAAAAAAAAGTCATCTATATCTTTTGCATAAGTAAATGTGGTTTATATTCTTAAGCTCATGCAGTTGATGATAAAGACAAACCTATGAGGTTAAATACAAAACTTTTGTTACCAAACTTCAGGTTATATGTGCATAGTCTTAGTCAAAACAAAACATTCTTAAAGCTTTATCTCTGTGATCGGTGGATAGCTGCAGACAATATTCTCTCAGTAATATACTTTTCTTAGTCTCCTTACTTTTTGTGCCATTGAAAGAAAGGTATTTTTGATGTCAGGGCTAATTGTATTAAGTTTATAGGAGTGTTGCCCTACATAAAGCCACAGGTTGTAGGTGGATCAAGCATTTTCAGAAAGGTTGAGAGAACCTTGAAGATGAGTAGGCCAGAGTGCACAGCCCAGAAGGTAATGAACTCTATTTTGGGGGTTTCCCAAGGGATCATCTTGATAGATTTTCTCGAAAGACGCAGGATGATCACAGAGGCTTTTAAGAAGTTTTGAGAAAATTGAAAATGCCATTGGTGAGAACAAGGACAGAAAAATTGCATCGAGGAATTATTTTCTATCATAATAATGGACCTACTCATTCTTTGAGGGTAGCAAGGGGTGTTCTATGAAAATTTTCTTGGGAAGCTTTATCCCACCTACTCTCAAGCCCTCATCTTGCGCTGCCAGTCTTCCTTTTATTCCTCTGATGCAAAGAACATTGACGAGGAGGCCTTTGGGCATGCCCAAACTGCCTTTTTAGCATCCAAATGAAAGAGCATTGAATTTTGAGGGGAAGGGTTAGAGAGATGCACACACTGCCTTCAGAATTATGTAGACCTAAAGGGAAGATACGTCGAGAAACAATTAGCATTTTGATAGTTTTGTTTTGGACAGATTTCTATGAAATTGTAACAATACTTTTTAAATTTAACTCATATTTAGATGAAAATATTTCTGTCTAGATTCCTGAACATATTTTTTCTTGCTGGCTTCACAAACACCCTAATGAATAATTAATCATTCCTGAACTTTAAAGCATGCCTCCCCAGGAGCCTCCTGATACCTTTATGGCTGTTTGCTCCCAGACGACCTTGTACCCTTTCCTTTGGGGACCGCTGCAGTCACTTCTCATTTTTCTACTCTTTTTCTCCTGATGAGACTTCATATACCTTCCTGTGGAGCAGTCACTCCCACACCTTTAAATGTGCTGTTTCAAATCTGTCCTAGACTTTGAAACTAGATAGCCCTGTTGGTTGAGATTACTCACAAAAGGGTAATGAGGAAGCCTGGGCGAGGGCCTGAGGGGCTGTCCTGTAAGTAGAATGAGTGCATGGGCTCCTAAGAACATCAGCGGACTGTGCAGCTGCATTTGAGTCGAAACATCCTGAGACCTCAGGTTTATTTGAGATATATAAGATTATTAAAAAGCTAACTGAATTCTAGATCGATTCAGTTCTGTTCTTTGAGAAGGATTAATGGGTGAGGATACTGTAAAAAAATAATTTTTAAAAGAATTATTAAGAAAATTTTAAAACATTTTATAAGACTTAGATGCTTTAATGAATGTGTTGGATGTTTTCAGACTGTTAGATAGGTATTCAGAAGGGTTTGGGACTATAAAATTAAGGGTTCTTTATATATAGCCATTAATATTCCGTTACTGCAATTGGCAACATTTTGATTCTGAGGAGAGTGCATGAGTTCAAGGTCAAAGAGATTGCCTTGTGCTGTTCATTATAACCAATTATCCTGTGACAAATGAGTTTGAGATCAAGCCGAAATTTCTGTAAGAAAAATCAATAGTTCTAATCAGGGCCTTTCAGGACATTTACCACCCTACCTTTTGTTAGTTTGTCAGAAAAGAGCAAGATAAAACCTGTGCGACAGCGGCTACCTCAGTATTGTTGCCATTTCCGTTTGAAACCTATTTTGATATCTTAAATGAATGGTATAATTGGTTTCAAACTTGTAAATGAGTTGGGAATTTTATATTATTTCATTTTTTTAATATTCTGATAAGATTTTCCAAACTAACTTTTGCTCTGTAGTTTTCCCCCCTCTCCAGGAAAGAGTTATACTTAAAAGTCTTTAAGCAGATTTTGAATGGCTTCTCTGAATGAAAGGGTCTTTGGGAAATGCGCTGTCTTAGCTTATTAAAATCTGTTGGAGTGGTCACTTTGCCTCGCACGCTAAAGTCAGTCTGCATCTTCTCACTTTTAGTTTCCAGACGAGGATGAAGAAACAAGGCTCTATCGTTTAAAGATAGAAGAACAGAAGCGCTTAAGAGAAGAAATCCTGAAACAAAAGGAGTTACGACGGCAGCAGCAGGCTGGTGCTCGGAAGAAGGAGTTGCTGGAAAGACTTGCGCAGCAGCAGCAGCAGCAGCAGCAGCAGCAGCAGCAGCAGCAGCAGCAGCAGCTTTATACCCCCCAGCTCCCAGTAGAGCAAGAAGAACGGACTTCCTCACCACTACCCACCAATGGTAACCCACTGTTACCCTTTCCAGGTGCCCAGATCAGACAAAATGTGAAAAACCGACTTCTTGTTAAAAATCAAGATGTTGCAATTTCAAATGTTCAGCCTAAAACATCAAGTTTTGTCCCCTCTGGTGCTAATATGCAGTATCAAGGACAACCACTGAAACCACTCAAACATCTGAGACAGGCCCGGATAGTACCTCAGAGTCAAACGCAGCCATCTCTCAAGGTATTCCCAGCCAAACCTGCTGACATGGAGGAGCTGCCACCTTCCCCACAGACTGCCAGAGTGGCTTCTGTCCAAGGCCGGCCCCAGGAAGTAAAACCTGGAGTGAAAAGGACGGTCATGCAACGGGCAAACAGTGGTAGTGGAGACGGGCCGCACATCAGCTCCAAAGTCAGGGTGATTAAATTGTCAGGCGGGGTAAGTTTACCTGCGTTGTGAGTGCCTCTTCTTCCCATTTGTGTTTCACTTAGAATAGCTTAATGCTCCAAGAACCAAAACCCAAACCAAGTTCACCGCCACCGAGTTGATTCTAACTCATAGCGACCCTGTAGGAAAGGGTAGACTGACCCTATGGGTTTCAGAGAGTAACTCGTTACGGAAGTAGAGAGCCCCCTCTTTCTCAGAGCAGCTGATCGTTTCAAACTGCTGACGTTGTAGTTAGCAACCCAATTCGTAACCACGACACCGCAAGAGCTCCTGATTCTTATGGGAAAAATAAACTTCCCTCTGTTAGCATCAAGTAACAGTCATGCACCTCCTTGAAATTGATAGGAGAAATGCACTACTTCCATCTGTGCCCATATTTTCTCAGATGTATCTTTTGAGCCTTAATGAAAGACTAGCATGACCATCCCTAAATTAGCCATTCCTCAGTTTTAGCTTCATTTTGTAGATACTTAGTGATCGAATCAAGTACATTTTAAAAATAAAATTTCCTTTTCCACAAAATAAATCATTTGTTGTGCGTAGCTTGAGATCTGGTGAAGCACCTTTGTGCATAGTGAATGTTGTTGGTGATTATTTGTGTATGTGTGAGTGCCAACTTTTAAGCTGCCTTGTTCCAGGGGACCTGTCTTGTCTTCTGGTTTCTTCCTCAGGGAGGAAAATGATGAACAGAATTTAAGTTGAAATCATACATGATCTTACCTCATGCTTTCAAAAAAATCAAACCTAGCTCTTTCATTTTCTCTCGCTTTATATGTAAGTGGTGCCCATTTAGCTTATTTTCTATAGGGCACAGGAGTTGCAGTTTTTCAGTGTGGTTTAAATACACACAGCACTCCAAAAGAGAAATGTTGCTGCAGCCGAATTCTTACTATGGACAATTCTCAGGTAAAGAAGTGGACTGTAAAACACTTGCTTCCTTATCCCACCACGTAGTCTTATTGTTATTGTCCATTACTCTTTGTAAGTACAGTCGATTCTTCAACAATTGCCACGTCTCTCATTTTGTGTTCTAGAACAATACTACCTATGTAGGGTGTGCAGTTTGTGTTGTGGAAGAGAACAGCAGTTAAGATAGGGCCTGTACAGTAAGAGACAACCAACAATTAGTATGTTAAAAAACTTTTGGAGAGCTTAAAAAAATTCATGGAAATTTCTCATCATTTCTTTTTCCACAAACTTTGAAGCCCTTTTATACAAAACTTAACACCCCACACTTGCAAACAATAGTCCATTCAACAAAGTAGTACCTCTCGGGTAAACAACAAAAAATATCAGGACAAAAACACTTGGTTGTGGTACCATCCTCTGCTGGACCAAATTAAAGATAGCTGATTTCATTAGTTGATTAATTTGTGTGTTCATGCTGCTCTTTATATACTCATAAACTATAAATGTTGTGATTTATCCCCCTCTCATGTGTTAAGCTGTGATAGACTAGTAATGGCAAGATTCCTATGTAGAATATTCAATAGCACCCATAATTTTGGTTCTCCAAATCTGGTTTTTCTCACATGTATTTGTTGTGACTTCAAATGTCACTAAACAGATGAACTGTGCTACATCATATTAAGTTAATTTCTTATCTTTGGGTGAAAATCCAAACTTTCATTGGTTTCTACATTGTATATGACCTTTTGACTATTAGTTTCACTTTTAAACATATTTGTCAGTGCCTCACTTTAAATCTGTGCTATAAGTGTAAGAAGAGGAGATGTGTGGCCACGATTAGGCATAGGTATTTCACTATAACAGCTACTAGCAGTGATTTTTATTACTGCAATTGGTGAATTAGGATGTGTATAATAGCATTTCTACACTCAAAAAAGAGTAGGCTTTAACTAATGCCATTCCTTTAAAATAGTGTAACTGTCTGGATTTTTTTTTTTCCTTTTTCTCCAGTGGGAAAATATGTTTTGTATCACACTATACTGCAAAATCATGTTATATTATTTTACAGCAGAGGGGGTTGTGAATCTTGAATGGCAGTACATTTTCTACCAACCCAATGCTGTGGAATCACTTTTGAGCCCACTTTTTAACTCTTAAGTATTGGTGAACTAACACATTCTGTATCTTGGGATTTATTTCAACAATTCCATGTGTTGGAAACTTCATTTATCAAACGATCAGTCTCTTGAATCTCTCTAAACTCAAACAGAAATAGTTCTTGTTCTGTGGACTTGGCTCTTGTGAGTTAGAACTATTTTTAAGAGGACACATTTACAATTGTGGTTAGTTATAAGAAAAGAATTCTCTTAATGCTAGGGCATGCTCACATTTATTTTGACTTTTATTTCTGCCCATGGCTGTTGCTGTGGCGTCTGGATGTGGGCTTTTCTCTGCCTTGTTGTACTGGGGCTATTAATGCTCAGGGATAGATTATGTATGTGAAACTCTTAAATGGTGACCCTACAGCTAAACCAGGTAACCCAATTAGGGTCTGACGGGGTTAGTATTTTGAGAGGATTGCTGCCTCCATTTCATAATTACTGGTGTAAGGAAAGCTTGTCAGTTTTGGTTCGTACTCCCCTTGTTTTGCCATGAGCCCTCAGCTAGTTTACATTCTGTTAGTGTAAGAATTGTCTGTCTTTATATTGTACTTCTGAGATTTTTTAGAAACTAACTCTAGAGATAACAAAAAGCAAACTCATTGCTCTTGAGTGGAATCCAACTCAGAGCCGCCCTGTAGGACAGGATAGAACTGCCCCGTCTGTGGGGGTCGGAGACCATAACTCTCTCTGAGAGTGCAAAGCCTCTTCTTTCTCCCATAAAGCAGCTAGTGGTTTCAAACGCTGACCTTTTGGTTAGCAGCCTAAAGCAATTAACTCCTGCACCACCAGGGCTCCTAATAGTAAGCGTTAGTTCCTTTGCTTGCTTTTCTAGCTCAGGCTTGTATCTAATATATTTAAATAAATTATTCTTTACACTCAGCAGCCTCCTCATTCTCTAACAGATGTGAAACTCTATCATCTCTAACAGATGTGAAACTATCTCCAGATACACTAAACGTAATTAGATTTCTGTCGATACACTTAAAACTTATGGGGGGTGGCGGGGCGTCGGGGCGCTCAGAGAGAAGGCTATCAGTCTACTTAAAAATCCGCCATTGAAAACTTTGAAACGGTTGAGCACTGACAAACCTGGGGCTGCTGGGAGTCCGGATCGCACATACCTGTAAAGCAATTGTAAATGAAAAGAGTTCTTACTCGCCTTTTAAGTTCCCCACATTGAGTTAATTATTACAAAATACCTCTCATTGGGACTGGGAAAAAGAGATGCCAAAGAAAATAGATCTTAAGTCTTAATACATTTTTCTGTCTTTTTTTTTTAAGTTCGTTTTTATTTACCTTATTGTGAGAGGATTTCTAATTTTATAATTTCTTGGTTACAACTAATGTGTTATAGACATAGGAAACATTTCCCAAAAGTTTATAAAAATAACTTCTTGGTATTATTTCTTATATAATCAGATAACTGGGGTTATTATCTTGGTTTGAGGCTTGGAAAGTGATTCTATGCTTCTGTCAAGGGCTTATTGTTGGCGCCATATTATGGATGGGGGTGGGGGTTGGACCTTTTTTAGTCCATTCCAGAATTCCTTTTCATGGAATATAGAAATTCATTTCTCCCTTTGTAGGATAGAGATTATATTTGTACACAATAGAGTGATCTAGTGAAACAAGATGGTTTTGGATTCCGAAAGACAGACCCGGGTGCGCTTGAAAGTCTGTTACGTTTCATCTTTGGGCTCTGCACAAATCATTTCATTTCTTTGCATCTCGGTTCTCTTCTAGAAATGAGGGTAGTAAGGCCGCTGTAAGGAATAAATAACAAACCGAGCACCCAAGAGGCATCTTCTAAGTGTCCATTTTCCTTTTCGGATGCTCGTAGGCCCCTTGTAGGAATTCTCTGTGTTTAGGATAAATCATAGCAGTTGCTACTAGTTGTCAAGTGTTTAGCATGTACTGATGGCTTTACAGACTTTCTCATGCCATCTTCACATCATCTTTATGAGGCCTGTGTTCTTACAGTTATACGTGTGAATAAATTGAGTCTCAGAGAAATTAGTAACCCAAAGTCACACAGCTAGTAAGTGGCAGAGCTAGGTTTCTTAATCCAGGCTTAATTCTGAATCATAAACTCTTTGCCATTGTCTATTCAGTTTGTTACTTTTGATGTTGCTTTTTTCTATAATGTTTTTTCATCATTAGGGATTGTATTTTCTTTCCTGTAAAAAATGTGCTGTCATTGATGTTGATTCAGAAAATTTTTGATGATCTTAAAAGTGTATCTTAGGAATTTAGAGTAAGGATGATTTGTCAGTCCCTGTTGGTTGATAGTAGGTGTCTGTTGAGAAGTTTAAAAAAGCTCCATGATTGGTTAGGAGTAACAGTTCTGAAACCTGTGCGGAGTAAACTGTACCATTAGCGTAACCAGATAACTACTAGCCTGGTAAAAGAATAGTTGTAGCTTTCTATTTGCTGTAAATATATCCTCTAACATTTCTGTGTGGATGGGGGACAGTAAGGATCTGAAATTCAAAGAGACCTTTTGTTGTGAGGCTAATCGCTTTCTCTGTCTGAGTATTCATTTCTCCCCAACGTTTTATGATCTAAATTTGTTAGATGACCTGACAAAAGGCACAAAGTGCAGGTGCTTACAAATATTAGCAAGTATTGCTTCTAATTTTTTATGAGTCTGACTGAATATTATTTATACAGGTAGGTTTTTTTTTTTTAAAGAATTATGTTTGATGGAATGATTCTTTAATTACTGAACATATAGAAATATCCTCCATTTGCTCATTTCATAGAAAGCTATTCTAAGTAAAATTTTTCTTACATCTTGTAATATAGTGAATATGACCATATAAAATGGTGGCTTAGTTGTGTTGTTGTGAAATTGTGAATTAGATGTATAGAACCCTTAACTCTGATTAGTCTTTTTTGCCATTCCTCCGGGTATGACGA